AGGTCCGGAGCACTTAATAATTTATCACGGTAATTATAAATGAATTGTCTTTGCCGATTAATAAGTAAGTCGTAATTAAGATGATATTGGCGATTAGAAGCATGCGAATTCCGTAAAGTTTCTTGGGGTTCAGAAATGAGATAATTGAATACTTTTCCGCTTAGCGGGCGGTGAAAAAGTTCTTTTAATTGTTTTTGGTTGAAAAGTTTACCTACTCGTTCTTTAACCCCAAAATTTTTTAACATTTCATCCTCCAAAGAGACAAAAAATTGACTCTCGCCCGGGTCCCCTTGACGACCGGCCCGACCCCGCAACTGGTTATCAGCCCGGCGAGTAGTATTTCGTTCTATTCCAAGCACACCTAATCCTTTCATGAATTTATCAATTATTTCTCTAACCTTTTTCGTATATTTTTTGCCTCTCAATTCTCTCAAAAATTCATTAATTTTTTTCCTAATCTTTTCGGCGTCTTCTTTATGCTCCGAACACCATTTCAAAAATTCATTAATTTTTTCTTTAACTTGTTTGGCCTCGTTGGTATTAGAATTATCAAGTTTATCAGCCACAAATTTCAAGTTAAATAGGAGAAATTCCAGATCGAGGATGATATCAGTCCCCCGTCCGGCCATATTAGTGGAAATGGTAATGGTGCCAATTTGTCCGGCTTTGGCAATTATTTCGGCTTCTTGTTTATGATTGACTGCGTTAAGTAAATTATGAGGAATATTTTCTTTTTTCAATAGCGAGGATAAGTGCTCGGATACTTCCACGCTTGGAGAACCGATCAAAATTGGTTGACGAAAAGTTTTCTGATTTTTTTTGATTAATTTTATGATATAGTCATATTTACTCTTTTTGTCCCAGAAAATTAAATCATTATAATCTTTGCGAATTAATTTTCGATAAGGTAGGATAGCAATCACTTCCATGCCATAAACTTGGCGAAATTCCTCGGCTTCGCTGGCAGCGGTTCCGGTCATGCCGGACAATTTATCAAAGAGGCGAAAAAAATTCTGGTAGGTGATAGTCGCAATGGTTTTGCTTTTGATGCTGACCGGTAAATTCTCTTTGCTTTCAATGGCTTGGTGAATACCAGAACCGTAAACCCGATTTGGCACCAAACGACCAGTCAAAGCGTCAATCAGCACCAATTTT